AAAACCTTAGGTTAAAACTAAATTAATTATGAATTAATGTACGGAGTATAATATAAATAATAATAATAATAATAAGGCAGACCGAGTTCGGTACATCCTGCGCTCCAACATATTTGGTGACGCCGAACTCGAACGACTACGACGTGAGGCTGTTCCCTCATTAGATGAAAATTCTACAGCTGGTAATGCGGCGCCACTAATTGCAGAGCAACCTGCACTGGTATTCCGGTTGTAGTTGATTCAGACGATGATGAAATAGTCTCCCACAAACTAGGGCAAATGAGGAGCATATTGGAAGAGGCTATTTTGGAAACGCGCAGTACGCTTCTCGAAAATCGACCGCGACTTCGCCGCATACCCTTAAGCAAGCGGAAACGGACTGTCGTGGGGGCTCTCAACCCAATGCTGGTGCCCTATTTCGAAGCGAGCCGGGTCTTTTCGAGACGAAATCAATTCTTTTTGGCACCGCACTGGCTCTTTGCCATATTATTGGTGCCAAACTTCCCACGGCTGGGCGCGCTACTAGACAAAATAGCGCAATCCTAGCCTGAAGAAAAATAATTGAGGACCGTATCACAAAGGCAAGAGCCCTCATGGGCAGACTGAAAAGCTTCAGGTCGGGTAATAATAGATCGAGAATTATGCGCACCGTCAGGATGATGTTTGCTGGGACAAATATAAGTTTGTCCCAGCCAAATATTACGCAAAAACTGATGGAGCGCATAGACGTTCTTAAGCAGAGAATCGCTGCTTGGGGAAAGCGGATTCGGCGATATATCGAGACGTCGACACGGTACAACCAGAATCATCTCTTCCAGAATGATCAAAATAGGCTCTATAAATCATTGGAGCGACCAATGGTACGTGGAACGGGCCAAGCACAGATTCAGGCCGACACTGTTGCATTCTGGCGCAGCCTGTGGTCTGAGACTGTAAACCATAGTGAGGGCCTTTGGACGGAAGTTGTGGTGAATGTTACGCCCATGGATCCCGTCATCATAACGCCGGACGATGGAGCTGAGGTGGTCAGAAGGACCCCGAATTGGAAAAGTCCGGGGCTCGACAGGCTGCAGTTAGAGACTTCCTCGGGCAGTGTATGGAGTAGTGGAGTATGATCCTTTGTCATCTAGGCGAGCGGATGACGGCTGCGGAGAACCATATAAGGATAAGCAGGGGTATCTTCCAGGGCGATTATCTGAGTCCAATCTAGTTCTGCCTCTCTCTAAGCCCTCTCAGTACCTTACTGGAAGGTTCCGGGAGAGGATTTCAGCTTCGGAAAGGAGATAGAAAAGTGACCCACTTTTTCTATATGGATGATCTCAAGTTATTCGCCTCCAGTCGCTCACATCTTGTGGAATTGCTAAACATCACTTGTGATTTTAGCTATTAGAATGGAGCTGGGGATGGAAACTGTGCGGTCCTCCATGTCGAAAGGGGTAGGGTTGCTAACTCTGAGGGCATAGACTTATCTATGCCCATCAACGTAAGGACCCTATCCGAAACTGAAACATACCAATACCTGGGTAGGTCACAGAACATAGGTATTGATGAGGCGGACATGAGGCAGTCAGTTTGCGATGTGTTTTATGCACGCTTGATAAAGAATTAGACACACGCATATAACGGTTGGCTCATGCCTGTCCTCATATATACCGTTGCCATACTCAGGTGGACTCAAACCGAACTGAATGCTCTGGATAAAAAAGTTAGCCACTGTTATGACGTCCCACAGGATGCATCACCCGAGATCGTCAGTAATGAGGCTGTACTTACCGCAGAAACATGGTGTGCGCGGCATTTTGAGCGCTCTCACTATAATCGCTCTGAAATACGGTCTCGTGGATCGGAAACTGCCATATTATAAGTACTTGCCGGAAGCCATGCTCGAAAATGACCGCGCTAGGCTCTACTGGGACCGAGCCATCATCACAGACAGAATTATTCTTACGAATAAGCCTGATTATTGTGCTGATGGACCGAGCACAGTCAAGGATATTTTTGGTCAACATTACCATTCCTTATGACGAGAACCTCGTGAAAGGTCCCTAGGTCACGAGGTGACCGACATGTGGGGTGATCTGCCGACCGAAATTATTCCTTTGGTCGTTTCTGCGAACGGGCTAATCCTGGTCAGACTTTCAGGTCATCGGAGGCGACTGGGACTCCGTGACGGTCCACTCCAGGCTCAAATGCAGAAGGCGGTTCTCCTACCGCCCGCATCGTTCGCCGGTTTCCTTCTCTTTCCCGCTAACCCTCAGCCGTTTGGTCTCCCCTGCTGAAGGCTTCCGCCTGGTTGGGTTTTTATTTATTTATGTATTTTTATGTTTTTATTTTATTTTATTGGTATTTAAGTATATTTATCATTTTTTTACACATTTTATATTTATACAGCCCAAGATGAGAAAATTATATCGAAAACCCAAAATAATAATAAATTTTGATTCCAAGATAATTTACCTCTACACACGTGGTAGAGCCATGCTGCAGCTATATTAATTGTATAGTTGTAACAAAAAAAATGGGTCGGCTCATCCGGGGAAGGACCACGCTCTCACAGAATAGCAGCTTAATGCTGCTGTGTTTCGAATGGTGAGTGTAGAGAACCGGAGACCCTTTTTACTGGAACTTTTTTGGAAACGAGGCATTCCGTATTAGTCCTCACGGGTGACAACGCATCTGCATTTTGATTTGTAATAAAGGATAGATGTAGATGTCTATGGACCGCAGCACCAGATAGACTGTGTGCTCACTTGTCACCCTTATCCTATAAAAAAATACCTCTCTTATGAATACATCGGGAGATACGGCCAATATGAAAAATTACAGATTTTTTAGACATAAGTGTGATATTAATGCAATCCTGAAAATCTTATTTATTCACGTGTTCCTGTAGCATATTATATCCATGCCAAATATCAATCATCTACGTCCAATAGTCTTGGAGAATTCAAAATAATTCTTTGACAAACAGACATAGAGACATAGACCGAGATAAAACTAAAAGCCATCGAATTTTGCTAAATTTTGGCAGGAAACAGACTATAGGACTAAATTGAAACCCAGGCGAGGAAAGCTGGGAGTAAAAAGCTAATTATAATTATAAATCTGAATCAATATTAGAATGTAAGAATCAGTCTAAATCTAAATCTACTGGGACCGAACAATAATAACAGATAAAACTATTCATTACAATAGATCTGACATCAGCAGTCAGCATCAGCATCAGCTGATAGATAGGTATGCGAGAGCGACACTGAAAGTTTTTAGAACTGGCAACTTGTAAACGATATAATATTAAAATAAGTTCAAATTTTGAAAATGGAACTCTTTGCCAATATTATTATGTATGTATTTTATTAATTTGTCATTTGTTTACGATTTGGCGGCAAATTGAAAATTGTCTGTGTCACGTCAGCATCAATTTAACGCGATAAAATTTTTGTACAATGATGTTTTATGACTTTCGATGTGAAGTAAGTCAACATGAAAGTTATGATAGACTTCAATAACATCAGTTCTGTGCGGCGTATTATAGAGACTGACAAAAGAGTGACTTATCAGCAGATTCGGTTCGGACAAGCTTAGGCATCGGTATGAGTCATGTGCACAAAATCCTCCATGAACATTTAGCGGCCAGGAAGCTTTGTGCCCGGTGGATACATCATAATTTGACAGAGGCCCAAAAACTCCGTCGTGTTGATTTTTTTTCGTTTTTTTGTTCGATTTTTTTTTCGAACCAGTGGTAAAGTAAAAAATGACTTTCAATAAGAATTACACATGTAATGTATATTGAATAAAAAAAAATTCTATTCTATTCTATTGGTGTCGTGAAATGGTTCAAACATTTAACGGAGGTGACTCAAATGCTGTGTTCGACATACTTACGGGTGACGAAAGCTGGATTTATTGTTATGATCCTGAAACTAAGATACAGTCTGCTGTCTGGGTGTTTCCTTCCGAGGAGTTGCCAACTAAAGTGAAGAGAGGTCGAAGCGTGGGAAAAAAGATAGTGGCCTCGTTCTTCGGAAGGATAGGTCATTGCGCAACAATTGTTTTAGATGATCGAAAAACACTTACTGCAGAGTGGTACACTAATAATTGTGTGCCACTTGTCTTGGAAAACGTTCGGGAGCAACGACCTCGCGTAGGATCCTCCTTCACCGCCTCGTCGTACACCGCCAAGCAAACAATCGACTACTTGGCGACGTCAGACGTGGAATTACTAGGTCACACGCCCTATAGCCCCGATCTTGCGATTTTTATTTATTTCCGAAAATAAAAGAAAAACTTCGAGGAAAACGTTTTATGGACGCCGAGGAAGCAGTGGATGCGTTTCAAAATGCCGTCGAAGAGACCCCGGACGAGTGGGCAAAGTGCTTTTCTCAGTGGTTCTATCGGATGCAGTGATGTATTGATGTAAATTGACTCTATTTTGATAAGATATAATAAAACTAATAACTTGCTGGTTTGTTCAGTTTTTTGATTTTCTAAGAACTTTCAGTACTAACCCTTGTATGTATTAGATGCATTGTATATTTTTGGGCTTTAGCGGCTCCAGCGGTAGCAACCCACTCTACGGCACTGATTAATGATGCCGCGTATATTTTCCTCTATAGAGAATTCAAAGTAGACTGCTCACTTTAATATGGGATGTGGATCGGTATCTTGTTTATTTTTTAACAACTTGACATTAAAAATATAAAGTAAAGTATACACTGAAAAGGAAACAGTATTAGTTAAGAATATAGGAGATAAGCTTAGAGTAAACATAAACATTTATATATATAGGGTTATATGCCGTGTAGTGGCGGTCTGCCGTGTAGTGGCGGTTAAGAATATCCACTACCCCATATCTTCCCGTGGGTGTCGTAAAAGGCGACAAAGGGAAACAGGCAGGAGATGGGCAGCAGCATCTTCCTGGTAACGACAAAATACAATAAAAAACTGCGGTTGCCAACCCGCTCGCCAAGCGTGGCAACTATGGCAATATACCCCCCATAATGAAAGTTACGAAGAGACGGCCCCCAGTCCCCGGCGGCCCCGCTATTCCTGGCTACGGTGGCGACCATGGTAACGGCGGGGCAGGGGGTGCTAAGAATCTCCGGTGGAGGTTCGGTTGCCACCTACAACGACTCGACCTGGCAACATACAACGCACGCACCCTGAGGACTGACGAGAAGATTGTGGAGCTGGAAGAAGAGATAGACAAGTTACGCTGGCATATTATAGGATTATCCGAAGTCCGAAGAGAGGGGGAGGACACGGTAATCCTCGAATCCGGCAACTTGCTCTATCACCGGGAGGGCGACCATCTGTCCCAAGGAGGTGTCGGATTTATCGTCCACAAGTCTCTCGTTAACAACGTTGTAAAGATTGAGAGTGTGTCGACGAGGGTTGCGTACCTTATACTCAGAATCACCAAACGGTATTCGCTGAAGGTCATACAGGTTTACGCACCAACCTCGGCACACCCCGATCAGGAGGTGGAGGAAATGTATGAGGATATCTCTAGAGCCATGCATTCCTCCAAAACCCAATATACGGTGTTAATGGGAGACTTCAATGCAAAACTAGGCACAAGAGAGAACGGTGAGCTGAAAGTGGGTAAATTTGGAATAGGGCAACGGAACCCAAGGGGCCAGCAGTTGGCCGACTTCATGGAGAAAGAGGGACTCTTTATGATGAACTCTTTCTTCCAGAAGCGGCCCCACAGGAAGTGGACCTGGTCGAGCCCCGACGGTTCGACAAAAAATGAGATTGACTTCATTATGACGACCAGACGACAACTGTTCAGTGATGTCTCAGTGATCGCGAGGGTGAAAACCGGCAGCGATCACCGAATGGTTAGAGGCACACTGAACCTAAACGTTAAGTTGGAGAGGTCTCGTCTAATGAAGTCAACGCTCCGTCCCCCTCGTGCTCTAATCCAAAGTCCCGAAACCTTTCAGCTCGAGTTGCAAAACCGTTTTCAGTGCCTAGAAGACTGCAATGAAGTGGACGATTTGAATGACAAGCTCGTGGAAACTGTCCATGCGGTCGGAGCTAAGTTCTGCAAGACCCGCCGCAGAAGAACACAAAAACTCTCCGATCACACTCTTAATCTCATGGCTGTTAGACGGGAGATGAAGCTACATTCTTCAACAGATTTGACAGCATACAGGCAACTGAACAGACAGATCTCCAAATGCATGCGGCGGGACTTACGCAACTTCAATACAGCTCGTATTGAAGAAGCGATCGAGCGGAACCAAGGCTCCAAAGTCTTTGCCAGAGATCTGTCTGCCAGAAAGAGCCAACTGTCAAAGCTGAAGACCGAATGTGGCAGCATCGTTTCCGGGGCACCTGAGATTTTGAGTGAGATTGAGAGGTTCTATGGGCAGCTGTACACGTCATCGTTGGAGCCACACGCAAGTGTGAGTAACGATCCAAGAGCGAGTCTTATCCGACATTATTCCGATGATATCCCGGACGTCAGTCTGAGCGAGATTAGAATGGCTCTCCAGCACCTTAAAAACGGCAAGGCCCCAGGCCAGGATGGAATTACAGCGGAGCTTCTGAAAGCGGGTGGAAAACCGGTACTTGAAGTCCTTCAGAAGCTCTTTAATTCCGTCCTCCATGGTGGCATTACACCGGAGGCGTGGAGCAGAAGTGCGGTGGTCTTGTTCTTCAAGAAAGGCGACAACGCTCTCTTGAAGAACTACAGGCCGATTTCCCTTCTGAGCCGCGTCTACGTGCTGTTTTCGAGAGTCATTACGAATCGTCTCGCGCGCAGACTTGACGACTTCCAGCCTCCCGAACAAGCCGGTTTCCGAAAAGGCTTTAGTACCATAGACCACATACATACCCTTCGGCAAATTGTACAGAAGTCCGAGGAGTACAATTTGCCACTATGTCTGGCGTATGTGGACTATGAGAAAGCTTTTGATTCCGTCGAAATTTGGGCGGTGCTGCAGTCCCTTCAGCGATGCCAAGTTGACTGTCGGTATATCGAAGTGTTGAAATGCTTGTACAGTAGGGCTACGATGGCTATCCGAGTACAGAACCAAAGTACGAAACCTATCCAATTGCAGAGAGGTGTAAGACAGGGTGACGTCATATCCCCGAAACTCTTCACCGCTGCATTGGAAGATGTTTTCAAGCTTCTGGACTGGAAAGGATACGGTATCAACATCAATGGCGAGTACATCACTCACCTTCGATTTGCCGACGATATAGTCCTTATGGCAGAATCGCTGGAGGACCTAAGCACTATGCTCAATGACCTCAATAGTGTTTCCCAACGGATAGGTCTTAAGATGAACATGGACAAAACAAAGATCATGTTTAATGTCCATGTCACACCTATGCCGGTAGTTGTTGGGAACACTAAGCTCGAAGTTGTTGACGAGTATGTTTACCTGGGACAAATAGTCCGACTAGGTAAGTCCAACTTCGACCGAGAGGTCAATCGACGGATTCAACTCGGTTGGGCAGCGTTCGGGAAATTACGGCACATCTTCTCGTCAGGTATACCTCAAAACTTGAAAACGAGACTGTACACCCAGTGCGTGTTGCCAGTGATGACATACGGAACTGAGACGTGGTCCTTCACTGCTGGCCGGATGAGGAAGCTCAAGGTCGCTCAGCGAGCTATGGAGAGGGCTATGCTCGGAGTTTCTCTGCGTGATAAACTCAGAAATGAGGATATCCGCAGTAGAACCAGAGTGACCGACATAGCCCAACGGATTAGTAAGCTGAAGTGGCAATGGGCCGGCCATATAGCTCGAAGAACCGACAACCGATGGGGAAGAAAGGTTCTCGAGTGGCAGCCTCGTACCGGCAGGCGAAGTGTAGGGCGTCCCCCCACTAGATGGAGTGACGACCTGGTAAGATTTGCAGGAAGTCGATGGATGCAGGTGGCTCAGGACCGTGCTTTGTGGCATTCTTTGGGGGAGGCCTATGTTCAGCAGTGGACTTGTGAAGGGCTGTAATGATGATGATGATGATATAGGGTTTTAGTTTTGTTGCGCGGAACCCTAATTATTTTTCTAAAATATAAGTAGCCTAAGTTACTCCTTATAACATGAGCTATCTACCAGTGAAAGTCCCATCAAAATCGGTCCAGCCGTTTCGGAGATTAGCTGGAACAAACAGACAGACGGACAGACAGACGGACAGACAGACAGACAGACGGACAGACAAAAAATTTAAAAATTGTGTTTTAGTTATAGGAACCGTAGTACCTATACTTTTATAAGCAATAAGTAAAAAGCTGTTATTTTAACATTATAAACAGACACTTCAATTTTATTTATTTGTATGAGATAAGTTAAACAGCATTGTGAAAATAAATCCATAAATCAATTTAGTCAACCAAATATGATGCTAACTAAGGTATATATTTAGGGTGTGCGAATTAGAAATTAAATTAGATAATTAATTAGTGTTATCTCGCCCTAAGACTCCTAAATAATTTTGAGTAAAAACCCTATACGTATACTCGCTGAGTGTTCTAAATTCTTAAAATTTTACGAGTACCTTGATTTTCCACTATTATCCAAACCTATTTTTATGTTTAATTCTATAATTGAACTGGTTACCTTATCAATCATGTACATACATTCAACTATTTTTTTAATTGTTTGTTCGGAAACAAGCTGTACCAAAATACCAAATACCATAATTATACCAAAATACTTATCAAATTGCTATTTATTTTAAGATCAACTATTATGTAAAGATGAATAATAAACCATAAGAGTCGATTGAAGTTATTCTGATAAGAATGGTCAACGCTATCTGCTAGAGTTTGCCAACAGTCTCACCCTTGGTGCTTTCACCGTCTTCTTGGGAGGCAATCTTGATATGATTAAGTATGATGTGCAATGATGCTTATCGCTTGAAAGTTCCCTTGCGGTGCATGCATCAACTATCAACTGTTACCGACGCCGGGTTTGTTATATTCAGTGGCTTTTGCCGTGCCGTTATGAGCATCGACTATTACTCTTTAAGCCAACATTGCCAGAAATGATCGGTCAGCCGTGTGGAGGACCTCAATTTATTTATATTCACAAGAACTTCGTCGTCAAAATGACCGAAATTAATAGGTCCGCCATGAGATCTGCCAGTCTGTATCTAGGCTCACCGGACTTAGCGCTTATTAATTTATAAAGAAACTCCGCTTCCAAAAGTACGATGTCGATACGGGTACGGTCGACGATGCGGATCTACTAACTTGGGGCTCTGTTCTTTAAGTCAAAATCAAAACGTTACTGATCGTTTAAGCCTCTCGCATATGCCATTCATGTAATAGGTACGAATCTCCAGCGTTTGTGTATTCCTTTAAAGGGGCTATCTAAGCGAACTTTACGCATAGATATGTAAACAACACACACCATCTTTTTTCTTTTCGTCTTACCACGATTATCAGCATAGGCCTGAAGTTTTCTGCATTCGTATGAGTGAAAGGGGTAGCTTTTACTGTGATTGAGTCTGGTTAAAGCACGAATGGGTCAGCTCGACCGAGGACGGACGCGTTCTTACAAAATACCAGCGTAAAATAGCAGCTTAATGTTGCTGTAATTTATATGGTGAGAACCGGAGACCAACTTTACTGGTAAAGAGGCATTCTATCTTAGTACTCAAGGGTGATAACGTTTCTACATTTTGGTTCTTAATCGGGGATAGATGTAGATGCTACAGCATCCACTTATCATCAGGTAGACTGTATGCTCGTTTGTTAAGTATATTTTATAAAAAAGCGCTTCATCATCAGTCGCAAATCCGGTAAATTTCCATAAGGAGCCTCGGGTGGTGCAATGCACATTGTTGGCATCGATTTATCAATCGTAAACTATAATAATAAAAATATACTATTTGTTCTTAGCGACAGCATGTAGACGATATTCCTGACGTAACTCCATGAAAACAGCTAGCTATTGGCCTCTATTCCAATTTTTACGACATTCGGCTTATCGAATTGTTCTATCAACACAGTGACTTTTGCAAGAATGTTTGACGATAGAGTTATCCCTATATACCTTTAAAAGAATATGCCCAAGCAGCACACAAGCGTTATGAACATCAATTTACCAGCCCACATAGAACTTATAGTTCTATGTGGGCTAGAAGGGCTTAGAAGCATATAAAAGTATCGAAAAGAGGTTGCATCCTTATAAGAATGGTTTATGAGCTTACTTAGTACACTACAGACTTTATACAGCTCAAGCTGTATAAAGTCTGTACTAAGTAAGCTTAGGGTTCTTAATCAGAATATGAAAACTCTAGTATACCACGCTCTCACAGAAATCAGCGTAAAATAGCAGCTTAACACTGCTGTGTTTCGTATGGCGAGTGTAGAGAACCGGAGACCCTTTTTACTGGAAAAGAGACATACCAACTTAGTCCTCACGGGTGACAACGAATCTGCATTTTGATTCATAAACGAGGATAGACGTAGATGTCTACGGGTCACAGCAACCAAAAATACAACATTAAATATTTGGCAACACTTGAATCTGATTTTATCATTAAAGCTCTATGGAAGGCTTGAAGCTGTTTTTTTCATGCTGTCCCTGGCTTATTATAGGTCTAAGTGTTATAGTGTTATCACTCAAACCTTATTTTTGCACAGTAGTGTATGCAAATACCCTTCTAAAATTTATTTTTATGGCGTTATTGTACACTCTTGTAAATACAGTAGTTTTATGACTTCTATCTATGAGGGTGATGTAAAACTAAAAAAATAATAACAGTCATAATACAAAATTCTGTATAGGTAAGTGAAAGATTATCGCCATTTTGCATGCGTTTCGTGTTTATATTGTGCTTGTGAACAAAATTATTGGTTAACAATATGTGGAAAAAGTGCAGATCATGTTAAAACTAAATAAAAGTTATCCAACACTGTACCCAAGACAAGGTTTTTCATCTTTTACACATATTTCTTAAGAGAGTTATATTTTATGTTATAAAAACTGCTATACGGTGAAAGTAATAAAAATATTCTATTATACAACTGATTAAAACCAATGGCTGCATGATAGAATCCATAACATCCAATCTTTCATATCAATTAATTTAATATATTGTTTTTATTCTAACCTATACAACCGATATTTAGTTACCGTATTTAGTATTTTGTCGTTATATTATTTAGTTATTTTGCTGGCACAATAAATTTATGCTTATTTTTTGATAGAAAACATATACTAGGTTACCGTAAATCTAAGTTTGCAATTTTAAATCACCAGTTATCACCATCCAAACTCAACTCCAACCCGAGTATAATAATATATTTTTTTACTCTGACATAAAATGTATCCATCCTTCAACAATGTATATAAATATAATCTAGTCAACGAAAATAAAGTTATTTAAAATTTACTTATAAGACAATATCTGTAGTGTAATAGTTTCTTTGTACACCAAATAACAACTGCAATGCAGGTATTATACAGCCTCTTTTATGCCTTGTACAGCTACTTACTGTACAGAGCTACTAACGCACAAAGCTGTATTAAATTGTGCAAATTTTTTACTTATAAGAACTGCATAAGCAGTTATACAGTCTTTATACAGCCAGAAATTACAGCATCTAGTATAAATACGGACTTTAATACAGCTTGTATACAGCTTGCATGTTGCTTGGGTGGGGTCTCTTCGCTATGTTTATTACCTAACCTTAGTTAGTGTGTAAATATGTATGACCAAATACCGTTTGATGAGTGCAATACTATAATAGAGGAGTAGTGGTTCTCTCTTAGTTCTATTATTCATGCGAGGAATTTTGCCATAGTTCTTCATCTTTGCAAGCGGGTTGGCAACCGTATTATTCTATTATTAAGCTGTCATCATGACGATGCTGTTGTCCATCTACTGCTTTACTTTTGCTCTGTCGCCTCTTACGACACCCACGAGATGACATGGGATGTTGAATTCAATTACGATGCCACTAATTGACGCATTAGTCCTAGTAATAATAATCATAAATATTTAAAATATATTCCCAAAATAGTGAACGTACTTATTTATGATAAAATTTTAGAAGGACCGTTTTTTGAACGCGTCAATTTATTTATAAAATAACTAGTGCAAATAGAATGCATATATAATAAAGTCACATTGAAAACTTTAACACGTCTCTCGAGCCCTGCGATGTGACATCAATATAAAAGACTGACACCCTATTATACTTCATTAAATTCACTCACTCAATAACAGAACCATATTTCGCTAAGTAGGCCTTTCATATCCATATAATTCTGTCGACTCTCCTTGTTACGCAGTATGAAAACAGGGAGCGTGAGAGAGAGAAAAAAAATATTTGTCAAAATTGCGAGGTAACTTTCATCGGCTTTCAACCAATAAACCATGGGGATGGCATCGCTATTATGTCAAAATGACAATACACAAATTGACGTGACCGAAAAACTATAAACTTTAGAAGTTAATACGAGAGTCCATTATAAAAACGGCCATCTTTGTTAAATAAACTCTATGTACTAAATGTTATGACAGAAAATGGAATGTAAAAGTTGTTCTCGCTGCAATGTATTAAAATCTGCATTAAATGCATTAACATAAAGTGTAATTTCATATGTATGTCTAACATGCATTGTCAATGAATCAGATTCACGCAAAAAACAGATGAAAGGGAGTGAACAAAAGCTTATAAAAGTGGAGATTAATCGGGGATTTAGACACAATATAGAAGAAGCGCACACATGTCACCAGAGACGAGTCGACATGCCTTGTGGATGTTACTTATCGATGTCATCGTTGGGGTATCTATGTTCTAAATTTTTTCATTGCAGTCCATTGCTGACCGAACTTCGCCATAGATTGCCTCGTAAGGAGAATTTTGCCATAGTTGCAACGCTTGGCTGGTGGGAAGGCAACCACAGTATTGTATTATGATTATTGAGTTGTTACCAGGAAACTGATGCTGCCCATCTCCTATTTCAGTTACTCTCTGACATCACCTACGACC